TAAGACACCTGATAATTAAAGCATCTGACATCAGGACCTTTTTCTTCTGCTGCACTCAAGTGGCCATAATGTTCATAACAGGTACTTAAATTCCAGCTGTGAAGATTCAAATTTGTAAACATTAATACTTCAAGAAACAACTGAAAAACATTTTCTGAGTTACTGTTTTGTGAATGTTGTTAAGTCTCATTAAGCTGACTGTGCAGACAAATGTGTGCTTGGATTCTGGCCACTCTGTCATGCACTGGTTACTTTTACCATATTTTGATAGCAGGGTGTGTTAGAGACACTGGCTCTAATGTCCTCTAAGCATTGATTTGCTGAACTGCATCCTTTGTCTTCAGGGAAAACATTGTGCACCTTTTCTCACCTTTTTGAAGATTTTTAGTTTTTCTGGAGCTATTAAGTGTGTGTAGTGTGAAAGCAAGAGTGCCCCCCCAAAGAAACATGACTTAACCTGGCTGCATATTATACAATAGTCTGTTCATACACATAACTACACAATAGAGGTACTGATCATTAAATTTCATGTTTTGTTAGTAACGTCTTTGTTTGTTTGTTTTTATCTTGGAAAGACCTCAGAAAGCTTCTGTAACTAAAAGCACAGTGAGCATGTAGAATATTATTATTATATAATCCGAATCCTTTTCAGAACATGTTTGTTACCAAAAATCATTTTACATTCTTATTATAAATTATCACTCAGTTTTGAGCTCATCAGGAGGTGTGTAAATTTATTAGTATGACTGATTAGGCATTCATGTTAAAGTTCAGTGATTTGCTATTTATATACAGACATAAACGTTTACATTGCTTTCTGTATCGTGCCACATGCATGTCACCATAGCATGTCCTTGCTGAATTAGTATCTTAATTTCTAAGCACAGACTTTGTGCTTTAAACAAACAGAGGCACAACTAGAAGAACATGGCCAGTCATTCCACTGCTTAATTTTACGATAGTTTCTTGTAACACAGTCTTCATTTCCTCTATTGTTTGGCTCGCCTTTTTTCCAGTTAAAAAAGTCTACCACAGAGCCATCAGACCACATCCATCTGCCCTCACTGTGGATGTCACTGAGTCCAATCCAGGTGGCCCTCTCATCAGGGTCGGAGTTCCTGATTAAGGATCTGACAAAGTTATCTTCCGCCATGTTGTGAATAGACACCAGGTGGGCTCCCTGTGACAAACAGTAGAACTCTGCATCAGACCAGCTCTTTGGTGTAGCTACATACTTATAGCAGCGGCCGTTGAAGCTCCACCAATACGTGGGACAGTTTCCTCTCAGGAGCTTCACTGCTCGGTCATCTGAAAAAGACAGAAACAAGAAGAGGAAAAAGATCATGATTTGTTTTTTAGTGACAGAAGAAACCTGATCTGTACTGCTAATATCCTAAAGGTGAGACCTGGTGTCAGGCTGCTTTTCTGTATGTACTTCAGGGAATAGAAAGAAACATTACATATTAGCTTCACTGCATCAGCTCCCTGCTAAA